TACTCTCCCTCTTCCCCTGATGACGTGCTGGGAGTGTTCGACCCCGCCCCCCGCGTACTGTTTTTTACACACAGGATTCCCGGGAGTTGGGTTTTCGCTTGCATTTGTTTTCTAAATGCTGCTCTCGCTGAGGCGCCGGCATCATTTTCGGGCCCCGCTCGTTCCGAATCGTGCTCCCGCTGCAGCGCTGGCCTCATTTCCGTGCTTCCGCTCGTTCCGAATCGTGCTCCCGCTGCAACGCTGGCCTCATTTCCGCGCTTCCGCTCGTTTCGACTCGTGCTCCCGCTGCAGCGCTGGCGTCATTTCCCGTGCCATGCCACGGCATGCAATGCAATGCTAGGTTGATACTACGCTTTGCGGTGCTCTTCTACGCCATGCCATGCCGTGCTCTACAATGCATCGCGTACCCTTTCGCGATCATTGCCCTGCTCGACATCCGACTGTGCGAGTAGAGAGGGGATCTACGCCATGGTAAGGGATGGGAGGGAGGGGTAGGATGTCAGATATGACACGAGCGCACCTAGCTTGTTCCTCCTCCTCCTCCTCCTCCTCCTCCTCCTCCTCCGCCTCCTCCTCCCCTCCCCTCCTGGGTTCTCCCCCCCGCACTCTTCTGTCGAGGCACGGCCACGCGCGCAGGTTATTACAGGCTATCCTTGCACCGTTCCTCTCTTGGAAGAGTTCGGGCTTCGGTCGGCGCGCGCATCGCCGGGAGAACTTCCAGGAGCCAGGCTACGATCGACGAGGGGGCAGCGGCCTTGAAGTCAGCGAAGAGAACCCCTGAGCGGTCCCCACCAGTCAATGTCGGAGTCTCCACCATTCAACCTCGGCCAGGTCGTCTAACAACCTACGACGGTCCCCACCAGTCAATGTCGGAGTCCCCACCATTCAACCTCGGCCAGGTCGTCCAACAACCCCCATCCCGCGAACGCCTCTTCGCTGAAACGGGTCGACCACATCCCTCAACTCCCCCTGCAAACCAATCCAAACATATCGCCCACAATGTTCGCATTAGTGTTCGCCAGGGTCAGGGGTCGAGTCGGGTCTTACTGGGGGCGCGCACCAACTGCGAGGGTTTCTCATCTTCTTTCAAGTATTTCGGGGGGAAATGCATGCGGCCCCTCCCAATGCTCGCATAAACCGTCCCTCCAGAAGCATGTCACATATCCGATAACATGTTAAACGACATGTCAACTGCTCCTCCCTAGGTCTAACATCGGTGAGGAGTCCACAGCTCCCCAGGAGCAGGGAGATTGCGCACGGCAAACTTGTTTCAACGAGGAAATCAGAGTCCAACGGGCAAGGCGGAGAAACAACTTGCATGGTCGACACTCGGGTCGGGCGAAAGGGGGGGATAGCAAAGGGGGGGTTTGAGAATCAGCTCACGTAGCTGATTTTCCCGGCGCCTCCCGGCGCCGGAGGCAGCTATGTATCGAGGAATGGGCCCCTCGGTGAGGCCGAAACCAGTTGCATGCAGCAAATTTCGTAACCCACCCTTTCCCAATCCCCCCCTTTCGCCCGACCCGAGACACATGCTCCAAGATCTCGGGCCAGAGAAAGCAATCGGGTGCCTAATGCGCGACGACGTGCTCCCCATGTGCTGCGAAGGCAGCGGCCGACGCATCGGGAGACGAGCAGAAACGGCCGTCGGGGCCCAGGATCCCAGAACACCCATGTCGCATACGTATCTTGGCCCAAACTGCCCACACATGTTGGATCCGTACCATCCTTTTGCTCCTCGTGTCGTCGTCCTCCTCCTCCCACCCGTCCAAGTCCTGCTCCTCCCTCTCAAACAGAGCGTCCTTCAAGGCCTGACTCATCGCCCTCAGGCCAGGCACATCCGAGCAGCGTTTCCTTTCAGGTTCAAAATCCATAAGAAACTGAACTGGGGATAAGCCTTCATGGCCTTGACACACAACGACCAGTTCCCCGCACGCCGTCCTCTATACGCCATTAGAGCAAAACGCACTCTCTGACAACAGTGTGACCTCGGAACTAAAGACGCAAACGAAACTTGATAATTATTACCCTCCGCAAAAAAATCTCCTTGACCCGAGCGAGTTTTCCCTCGGTGGAAGTTTCTGACCGACTGGATCGCACTACAACAGAGCTCATGGTGCGTCCCATGCCGGGACATGCAGTTGCGGATCTGGGAGGGCGCAGCAGCGGGGATCCTGGCCGAGATGTTGGCGACAACGAGGATACGGGCGGGAAGGCGCCCATGGCTTAACAGCATGCCCGACGGTGTTGACTGTGCCCAGGAGGTCATTCAGAACGGGAGGACGAGGAGGAGGCAAACGGGGAGGAGAAGGAGGAGGAGGGGGAGGTAGGTAGGCAGGACAGCCCCGAGGGGGATCATCTCGCGAGGCGAAGCGCGCCCGCGGAAAGGGCGCGGCGGCGGGGACCTGGCCACCACCTGAAGTGACAGGTCCCCGCCGTGCCGACAGACGTAGACATGCCGACAGGGCCGAGGAACACGAGCGAGCTCATCCCGCCAAGTCGCTGAACGCCACGGACACCCGCAGCCGCTCGATCGTGGCGCTGCAAACCGCGGCGGTCGTTTCAGGTCGAACCCAGGCCCGAACTTCATGGCGATGCGCCGCATGAGCTCAGCACGCTCCGCGGCGGCCGACGCCGCAGTCGCTGCACCGCGATCGCCCGCTCCGGCGCGCCCCGGGGGGTACGTAGGTCGTCAGCCCAGCTGTCGCCGAGAACGCCATCACCAACACCATCCTCAGCCTGCATCGCGTGCTGGGCCTGTCCTCCGAGGCGCGTCCATGCCGCGCGCGGCGACGCGGCCACCCTGGGCTGTGGGCCAACCCTGCGCGGCGCGTCCTCCACAGGCAGAACAGGCTGCTCCGCAGCAGTTCCAGCCGCCGCCGTGCACGGCGCCGCGCGGCCCAGCTCAGCTGCGCCTCCCTTGACCCCGCCGCGCCCGCGCGGCCGCCACCGTCGGCGGCTGCGCGCAGGGGCCAGGGTCGGGCGGTGCCGCCTCCACCTGCTTCGCGGAGCCGCCGACGAGGTCAGCGATCGCCGCGCGCAGCAGGCCCTCCGCAGCCCACAACAGTCGGGCCGGACGAAAGGGGGGGATGGCAAAGTGGGGGGGGTGAGAATCAGCTCACGCAGCTGATTTTCCCGACGCCTCCCGGCGCCAGGAGGCGCCCATGTATCGAGGAATGGGTCCGGCGGCGGAGCCGAAACCAGCTGCAGCAAATTCCGTAACCCCCCCTTTCCCAATCCCCCCCTTTCGCCCAGCCCGAAACAGGCGGGGCTCCGAGGGGGACCGCCCAGCAGCCAGGCCGGAGGCGGCACGGGCCGCGAGAAGGGCTCCTCGGGCAGCCTCGACGGCGCCGCGGAGCCCAGCGCCCGTGGGCGCACCTGGCAGCGGCGGAGCGGCGGCGGGGCCTGCGGCGCAACGCCTGAGCGAAAAGGAATAACTACGGGAGGAGGAGGAGGGGGAGGAGGGGGAGGAGGAGGAGGAGAATTGGGAGGAGGAGGAGGAGGAGGAGGAGGAGGAGGAGAAGGACGAGGAGGAGGAGGAGAATTGGGAGGAGGAGGAGGAGGAGGAGGAGGAGCAAGAGGAGGAGGAGGAGGAGCCCCGAGCAGCTCGAGCTCCGCTCGCGAGGCCTCCGAGCCGCGCCCGCGGGAGCCTCCGAGGCCCGCCGCCGGGGCGGCGCCGCTGCCGGCCGCCGGCGCGCCCGGGGCTATGCCCAGGGCCTCGGCGCACAGCCCCGGGCGGGGTGGGGCGCGCAGCCACGGGGGGCCGAGAGCCCGATAGATGGCCCTGAGATCCTGGCGTCGCAATTTTTGCGAGCTGGACGTTTTCTAACATAGGAGCTGGGCGTGTGCGAGCAACTTCGGGCCCCCGAGGAGGAGGAGGAGGAGGAGGAGGAGGAGGAGGAGGAGGCCGATCTTCTTCGAGATGCCGCACGAGAGAGGCGACAGATGTGAAGGGGCCCCATGACACACAAATAAATACACACAAATAAAAGCATTCCCCATATGTTCTCATATCTTCTGGGTGTTTGTCTTCCCCCCATTTCCCATAGTTTCCCATATTTTCTTGGGAGTCGACGAATGGCCCTGAGATCCTGGTGTCGCACTTTTTGCGAGCTGGGCGTTTTCGAGTATACAGTCAAAAACCCTAATAAGGATGGGCCGATAGATGTGAAGGGGCCCAAGGACACACAAATAAATACACACACATCAAAGAATTCCCCATATGTCTTCCCCCCTACTTCCCATAGTTTCCCATCTCTTCTGGGGAATCGACGATTAGTTGTGTCTGTGTTTTTTTTCCCTCCTGAAGATGGCCCTGAGATCCTGGCGTCGCAATTTCTGCGAGCTGGGCGTTTTCGAGCATACGAGCTTGGCGTGCTCGAGCAACTTCGGGCCCCCCTGGACCCTCACAGATGGATCCAGCTGGAAAGATGGCACAGAAACACAGGGTCCAGGGCTCTGGTCGTGATTTTTCGCGATGTTGCATTTGTTCGAGACGTCGGCTTTCGGCGGGGGGGGGAGACATGTGCCCTCATCGGACCCGAAAGGGCCCCGTTAGGAGCCCTAAAGGGCCCCTGTAGGGGCTCTGAAGGGCCCCTTTCTGCATCCCTCACTGCCCCTCTCTGAGCAAGGTCCGACCGTCCAGGCAGTCTTGCATGCCTACCGCGAATTTTTCTTAGAACGCAATCGGGTCGTAAGAACAAAAGCATTTCGAGCATACGCCCGACGTTATAAAATCAGACGGCCTCGGACAGAAATGCTCTAAGAACATGTCGTGTAAACAACATAAGGCTTTTAGAACAGTCGCTGGTGGGACTATAGGCATGCTAGGACGCTTCGCCACTGCTTGACAGCTGAGCGTCCCTAGACGAGGAAAACAGGTCATAAGCATAAACTGTTGGCGCTCCGTGCGAACTTCATGGATCTGCGCTGGACCCCCCTCCCCGTCGCGCAGAGCGCCGCCAAAGGCGGCGCCAGAAGGCGCCGCCGGGGGCCCAGCACGGATCCAAGAAATCCGCGCGGAGCGCCACAAATTTATGTGTATGGCCTTTTCTTCTTCTGCGAGTCCTAGAGATCGGGACGGAGGTTCTTCATTCTTCATCGTTGTCGGCCTCTCGAGGCCCTTCCCGGGCTTCGGGGAATCGGCTCGGCATGAAGATCTGGTCCCGCCGGGAAATGAGATGCAAGGAGGTGGGGTGGGCTCGAACCGGGGGGGGGGAGTGGTCCCTCAAGGGGGGGTGTTCGGACCAGCCCCCCACCCGAGTTCCATGGGGGGGTTCGAACCGCCTTCCCCCTCCCTTCCCAGTGGGACCCGACGCCGGCGAGCGCTGGCGCCAGCCCCGTCGGGCAACGGTGATGACGACGATCGAGCCTTAGTAGAATGCATGTAAGGCTGGATTGAGCCCTGCTAAGATTGTATTAGAGCTGCATCGACTCCTTGAAGGATTCAATCAGAGCTGGATCTAGCTACAACAGGACCCTATTGAAATGGATCGGGCCATCATCGGACTTAATGGGAGCTGGGTCCAGCTAGATTCGAATCCCACCAGCCCTTTGGGCGTGAGTGGTTTAGCGAGCTCTCTCTGTTCTCAACCCCCCATCCCCCCCTTCTTCCCCTTCGGGGAGGGGTTTACCCCTCCCCCTACCCCCTCCCCCTGGGCCTGGAGAGGGAACCCCGCGGGTGGCCAGAGGGGCCGTTTTCGACTCCTTGGAGGGCTAAAAAAACGACACCCCTCACGAGGATTCTGGCTCCGACGGGGGGGGGCAGAAAAAAAACCTCTCCTCTTCTTTGAAGCCAAAATCATTGATTTTACTAAGGTTTTGGCCCCATTTTGGCCTCCTGAGGGGGCCGCGCTCATCTTCCTTCATAGCAAAATCATTGATTTTACGAAGGTTGTGGGCTCATTCCATCCTTCTCAGGGGGCAGCGCTCATTTGCGCTTCTGAGGAGGTCGCAAGAGGCCCCAAGATGGCCCCAAGAGGCCCACAGGAGGCTCCCAAGAGGCCTCCAAGAGGCCCCCAAGAGGCCCCCAAGAGGCCCCAAGAGGCCCCCAAGAGGCCCCCAAGAGGCCCCCAAGAGGCCCCAGGAGGCCCCAAGAGGCCCCCAAGAGGCCCAAGAAGCCCCCAAGAGGCCCCCAAGAGGCCCCAAGAGGCTCCAAGAGGCCCCAAGAGGCCCCACGAGGGATGCACGAACGACTCACACCCGAGGTCGACGAGGACGAGGGGCCCGAACGACTCACACCACGAAGAGCCCGAACGACTCACACCAGAAGGAGGGGCCGAACGACTCACACCAGGACGAGGCGCCCGAACGACTCACACCACGAGGAGCCCGAACGACTCACACCACGACGAGGGCCCCGAACGACTCACACACGAGGTAGCCCGAACGAGTCACACCAGGAGGAGGGGCCCGACGAGGGTCTCCACCAGATGAGGGGGCCCGAAAACGACGAACGACTCACACACGAGAAGCCCGAACGGAATCACACCCATGACGAAGAGCCGAACGACTCACACCACGAAGAGCCCGAACGACTCACACCAGGAAGAAGGGCCCGAACGACTCACACCAGGACGAGAAACCCCAAACGACTCAAATCACGAGGAGCGCTTTCTCTCCCTCCTCCTCCGCCTCGTCCTTCTCCCGCTCCCCCACAAGGAGGATGTACAAGGAGGCGGGAGGAAGGAGGAACAGGGGAGATATGCGGGGCCAAGCGGACACACGCCTGAAACACACGACTGTCGGCATGCTTCGCAAGAGTTGCTGCTGTGAGATGGGCTGGTGGGGATACGCGAAGCGTAAAGAATTCCAGTCGAATTGGTTCGAGCCCGACTACGGCGCAATCAAGATTGGACTCAGCTGCGATAACATATATTATCCCGGCAAAGCAACCTAACAGCGATGTGTAGAAGCATATCTGAAAGCATTCCCCTTAAGATTCAGATGAAAATCCAGTTGTCGAATTCTGCTGTTCTCGCAGTCGTAGTCGCATTCGCGATGACAGTCGCAGCGGCAACGGCAGTCGAAGTCACAGCCTCAGCCTCAGCCTGCCTCCTCCTCCTCCTCCTCCTCTTTCTCCTGCTCCTCCTCCTCCTCCTCCTCCTCTTCCTCCTGCTCGTCCTCGTTCTCGTCCTCCTCGTCTTGCTCGTCCTCCTCCTCCTGGTGCTCTCTCCTCCTCCTCCGCCTCCTCCTCCTCCTCCTCCTCCTCCTCCTCCTCCTGGTGGTCCTCGTTCTCCTCCTCCTGGTGCTCTCCCCCCCCCTCCTCCTCCTCGTCCTCCTCCTCCTCCTCCTCCTCCTCGTCCTCCTCCTCCTCCTCTTCCTCCTCCTCCTCCTCCTCCTCCTCCTCCTCCTCCTCCTGGTAGTCCTCCCCCTCCCCTCCTCCTCCTCCTCCTCCTCCTCCTCTTCCTGGTCGTCCTCGTTCTCGTCCTCCTCGTCTTGCTCGTCCTCCTCCTCCTGGTGTTCTCTCCTCCTCCTCCTCCTCCTCCTCCTCCTCCTCCTCCTCCTCCTCCTCCTCCTGGTGGTCCCGTTCTCCTCCTCCTCCTCCTCTCCTCCTCCTCTCCTCCTCCTCCTCTCCTCTCTCTTCCCTCCTCCTCCTCTCCTCCTCCTCCTCCTCCTATCCTCCCCCTCCTCCTCCTCCTGGTACTCCTTCCCCCCTCTCTACTCCTCCTCCGCCTTCCTGGTCTCCTCCTGCCCTGGTCGTCCTCCTCCTCCTGCTCGTCCTCCTCCTCCTCCTGCTCGTCCTTCTTCTCCTGCTCCTCCTGCTCCTCGTCCTGCTCCTGCTCGTCCTCGTCCTCCTGGTCTTGCTCGTCCTCCTCCTCGTCGTGCTCTTGCCCCTGCTGAAAATGTGGCCCAGGAATGGGAGTTCTGGGAAGTCGAAGAGCACGAAGTTGCCTACAGTTGGCTACGGGCATTCAAAATGTGGCCCGGGAATGGAGTTCTGGGAACTCGAAGAGCACGAAGTGGCCTACAGTTGGCTCCGGGCATTCAAAATGTGGCCCGGGAATGGAGTTCTGGGAACTCGAAGAGCACGAAGTGGCCTACAGTTGGCTCCGGGCATCCAAAATGTGGCCCGGGAATGGAGTTCTGGGAACTCGAAGAGCACGAAGTGTGTGACTGTTGCATACGGCCCTCCAGAATGTGGCCCGGGAATGGAGTTCTGGGAACTCGAAGAGCACGAAGTGTGTGACTGTTGGCATCCGGGCATTCAAAATGTGGCCCGGGAATGGCGTTCTGGGATCTCGAAGAGCACGAAGTGTGTGACTGTTGCATCCGGGTATTGAGAATGTGGCCTGGGAATGGAGTTCTGGGAAGTCGAAGAGCACGAAGTGTGTGACTGTTGGTGAAAAACGAGCCCGGCACCTGCCGCCCGGCAACTCCCAACACCTGCCCGGACCCCCCTGTGGAGTGATCTGCTGCTCTCTTTTGATCCCACTAGAAACCTATCAGTCTTCGCTGTTAGGTAAAAAGCTGGATCTTGGTCCAGCTATAACAGGAATCGAACAAGGAGTGTGACCAGGCCATACTGGGATGCTATCAAAGCTGGATTCGGCTGTCGTGAGATTCTGTTAGAGCTGGATCGAACACACATGGGATTCTATTTAGGAGGGGGTACGGTTCGACGCTCCCCCCTTGAGGGAGGAGGAGGAGGAGGAGGAGGAGGAGGAGGAGGCGGAGGCGGAGGAGGAGGAGGAGGAGGAGGAGGAGGAGGAGGACGG